GTAAGCAAAGTAATTGCTATGTTATGATGTAGAATATTTGTGACCTTACTGCGTTTGCACGGGCATTATACTCTTCGAAAAAGATTTTTGGTGTAGTGATTTGGTGCTTTGGCATCGCACACATAAGACATTGGTTCAATTTTCACGTGAGAATAATTATCTTCGTCTTTCTGTTGAGATGTTTTATCCCTCTCATCCCGGTTTCACCCTGACTTTTCTATATCAATCTGAAAATTTTTTTCTTCTTTCCTCTTCTCGATCGCATCACACTTGAAATCCGTTATCTATCAAACAATGGGCCATCCTGCTCAATTCTTCTGTTGATCTGCATATCTCCTTCTGTAGTGTTTATGGGTTTGACCACATGTCATGTCTCGAGGCTGTGTGTGTGAGCACTGCTGGAGGATGTGTTCCACCATTGAGTTTGCTTTTAGTAATAATAATAATAATAATTGCATTTATATAGTGCACCTCCACATTCGACAGCATTGTGTATGTGCTTTACTACTGTTATTACCCCAGCAGACCACAGAACACAACTCAGAAACATTCTCAGCTTTCCGGGAAGCATGCTTTTCCGTACTGACTGGTGTTTTAGTGATTGTACTAGTTAAACCTTTATCTGTTAGGGTTTTTTTTGCTTGTGAACTCTCAGGTCAACGCAACCAGCTGAGCCAGGAGGTAAGCATGTGGGAGATGACCATCAAGAAACTGGAGTCGGTGCTGCGGGATGCGGGGAAGGCGGAGCTGGTGATGCGCAGCAAGGACCTGCTGGAAGTGATGCGCCAGGCCCACAGACAGTCCACATCCTCTTTTGTTACCACGCCCGTCCCCACCGACTTCACCAGGTAGGCAGGGATACTACGACTGTTTCTGTTCCTCCTTGTAGCAGTTTTGCTCATTATAGTAAAGCAAAATGAATGACATTTATATAAATTTGCTGATTATCATAAAGCAAGACGAACGAGCTATGCTAAAAAGCTTTGCTTTATTAAACGAGTAACGTACTATTCTCTTCGAGTGGTAGAATTCGACTTATGGTAATACACAGATAAAACAGACACTGGACACAGCACAGCTACACTACGCACTGAGAGACACTCGCAAATGTGACAAACAGGATAACTAGTGAACAGAGACGTAACAAGAGAAATTTCACCACACTTGTGCTCGCAGCACCTAAATCAGAGACGCAAGTTTCATGGTTTGCGAGGTCGATTCAGTCATTTTAATTTGCCCCCTTAACTCTTTTCAGTGCGCAAGGGACTCCACAGTTTTATGTCCCTACATTCTTTATATTAACAAATGTGGCATCTTCCTGGTTAGAGATTATTTGTTTAAAGTTGTGTTGAAATTGGTTCTAAGATGGCTGAACTATTACCCTTTAAAAGGCTCTGCTATTTTTTAGACTTCTTGTATATTGAATAAACAGTTGAAGTAACCATAATATGTGTCACAACACTGTGAAATCATCAATTTATGGGCATATGGAGTTATTGGTACAATCCTAAAGCTTTTTCATTCCCTTGATTTTGGAAAAAAAATATACATGTATCTGGAATAAAAGTTCAGATATTTGCGATTTAAGGAAGTGGGGGTCGCTTGATGTCAGTGGTGAAATTAGCAAGATAATGGCTGCCAAAGTTTGGTGACTTCTAATGCTGTAGTGTGCTTAGAAACTACAAAGTTACATTTTTTATGCCTTTGATCTATGTTATTTGGTAAAATCCAAGCACCACCCCGGGGCAGTGCCACTGACTGTAGTGTCTTTAGGCCATTCCCAAGGGGGACATTTCTCATTCAAGCACAGTTGAATTGTAAATGGGCTGATTCATGTCACGCTCATAACTGTGCCTGATCTACAACAGGGAACTGCTGCTTTTTCTTTCCTGATCCTTACTATTGTCATTTTCCTCTACTTCTTTTGTATGTATATCACTCTCTTGTGACCTGCTATTTCCGGGGTGCCTTGATAGTCGAAGCAGACCTTGTGCTGTTGAAGCTAGAGAGGTGAGCAGTCTAAGTCTGATTCCCTGTAAAGACTTCTCTGTTGACACCCACCCCTTGGCGCTCATATGACCTTATGCAGTTGCGAGCGCGGTAAAACCCACTACTATTTAAAAAAAAAAAAAAATCCTAGCAGAAATAGATCTATGTTTTTAAACAGACATGAAAAGTGTTCAGTACAATACAGAAAATTCAGTAAAATTTGCCAGATGGGTAGAAAGATGTCTTTTTTTTTTCTCTTAATTTGACGAGTGCCTGATCTCACCACTGTGCCTCACATATTGTTGGCGTTGCTATGGAAATGAGTACCTACAAATTTTTTTTTTCACTTTGTGAAGTAAATACTTGGAGTTTAAAGTTTAAGCAACCATATGACATGCTTCGCAGTTACATTTTCCTTAGCTTTCGTTTATTACGTGTTTTACGACTACGTTAATCTAACCTATTGGTTTATTTTTCTCCTTCCCTCCCTTCAGCGAAATTGTTCCTCAGTACGACTCCAGCACCTTTGTGATGAAAAACTTCACTCTCCTGCAGCAGCGAGCAGACCCCGTGTACAGCCCTCTCCTGTCGGTGCACGGCCTCAACTGGAGGCTCAAAGTCTATCCAGTGAGATTATCGTCGTGTTGTGTCAATAGTGCCATTGTCAAAAGTGGCATTGTTGATAGTTCCATAAAACATTTGTATTTGTTGCTGATAGTTCCATAAAACATTTGTATTTGTTGCTGATAGTTCCATAAAACATTTGTATTTGTTGTTGATAGTTCCATAAAACATTTGTATTTGTTGTTGATAGTTCCATAAAACATTTGTATTTGTTGTTGATAGTTCCATAAAACATTTGTATTTGTTGTTGATAGTTCCATAAAACATTTGTATTTGTTGCTGATAGTTCCATAAAACATTTGTATTTGTTGTTGATAGTTCCATAAAACATTTGTATTTGTTGTTGATAGTTCCATAAAACATTTGTATTTGTTGTTGATAGTTCTATAAAACATTTTTATTAAAGGAACAATTATCATCATTTTATGTTGTGTTGATAGTGTCATTGTCCATAGTGCTGTTGTTGATAGTTCCATGAAACATATATTCTCAAACAAACACCTGGGTAGTTGGCGGGTGCTCTGGTGCGGTTTGCTTCTTGTGTTTGTTACTCTCTTGTAACACCCCTAACCTTCGGCGCTTATATGACCTTATTGTGTTGCAAGTGCCGTAAAACAATTACTTTAAAAAAAAAAAAATATTCCCACACAAACAATTGTGGGTGGTTGGCTGGTGCTTAGGTGTGGTTCGCTCCTTCTTTCCTATCAAACATCTATTGTCCTTATCTCTTCTCCCTATTTTTTGTTTGTTACTCTCTTCCAACACCTCTAATCTTCGGCACTTAAGTATAACCTAATTTTGTTGTAAGTGCAGTAAAACATGCACTCAAACGAACAATCATCATTGTGTGATTTGACCCTGTCATCAGAGAGTCTACTTACGAGCCACTGTATACACAATACAAATGCTATGTGTTGATATTATTGTTTTTGTTAAATTATTACTATTGTGCTTTAAAAAAAATTATGAGCATTATTATTACTTGTATCAATGTTTATGTTATTGATATCTTTTTGCACAGGATGGGAATGGAGTTGTCCGTGGCCACTATCTCTCCGTCTTTCTGGAACTTTCCGCAGGTCTCCCTGAGATGTCGAAGTGAGTATGGGCTGTAAGGTCTTTGGTGGTGTCTTAGTGAGCTCTTTCAGTGATAGAGGGGTTTCCATGGCTGTGCAGGACCTGTGTGATCAGAATGTGACATTGTAAAAGTATGGGTGGTTGGCCGGAGCTCTGGTCTGGTTTGTTCCTTCTTTCCTGTCAAACATTTGTCATCCTTATCTCTCTTCTTCTTTCTTTTTTATGTTTGTTACTCTCTTGTAACACCTCTAACCTTTGACTTTTATGTGACTTATTTTTGCTGCTAGTAAAATTCTTACTAAAACAAAAACAAAAATATTTCTTAGTATTTTGTTGACTTGGGTCTTAGATTTGCTTATGTCATGTATTCCTTAGGTATGAGTATAGGGTTGAAATGGTGCACCAAGCTTCTCGAGACTGGTCCAAGAACATTGTCAGGGAATTTGCCTCCGACTTTGAGGTGAGTTCTGAATTTTTACGTGCTTGAATTTGTTTTAATTTAAATAGAACATATCCTCTCTGCTGTAAAGATTTTAGTGATTTTTAGAAAGTTCAATCTGGAATATTGTCTGCGTCATTTCACTAGTCTCTGGGTCATTTTTTTTTTAGTTTTGAGAATAAATCAATGAAAAGAAATGACTTAGAACGACACTTTGACTTTGGCAGTCATGTTGTTTTTTTTCATTTAAAAATTTGGAAGGAAATTATGAAACAAAATGACACTATATTAAAGCATAAATATCTACAATTACATTTTTGTAACCTTTGTCATTTTCACTCCCTCTCACTCGCCACTTCCTAAATCTGTCCCCTTTACTAAACATTTCTGACATTATAAATGAATGGTCTGAATTTACTTCATGCACAAAAACGTGTGTGAAGTGTGTGGAGAGGGTTAGTTGTCCAATGCTCACCATCTGCCATCTTGGCCAACCACGTACATAGAGTGTTTTTTGGTTGTGAAAAGTTGGCAGCTATGGGTATAGTGTGTTTTGCAATGGAGCCTTTCATCATATGTGTCAAGTGAATCAGGTGCTCGTCGATTTCTGGGCAAATGGAGTTGTGGATATAATCTTAAAGTTTGTTTATTTGTCTTTCTTTTAAGGAAAAAAAACCCATCTTTCTTGAATAGAAGTCGAGATATTTGAGTTTGAAAGAGGTGGGGGTACCCTGTTTTCTAAGGTAAAATTTGCAAGAAAATGACCGCCAAAGTTTGGTAGTTTGAGAATCCTTGAAAGCTGAAGATGTACATATGTTGTGCCATTAAACAATGTTTTTCAGTAAAATTCACTTGTAAATGTATCTTATATTCACATAAAATATGTCGCCCAAAAAACAAAAATTCGACAAAAATTGCCAGACTGGAGGAAAAATGCTTGTTTCTTCTATTTCATTATTTTAACAAGCGCCTGATTTCACCGCACTACCTCACATACATACTTTTGATTTCTGTTTATCTCAGGTTGGAGAATGTTGGGGCTACAACCGCTTTTTCCGGCTGGACCTTCTGGCCACCGAGGGTTATCTCAAGGCCGACTCAGACACCCTGGTGCTACGCTTTCAGGTGCGACCTCCAACCTTCTTCCAGAAGAGCCGTGATCAGCAGTGGTAAGTCGTGCGGAGTTTTTTTTTCGTTGTTTTAAAAAAAAAATTATTTTTTTTAAAGATTCATTTATTTTATTTTTACAAATGTTTTAGATGTCGAGCGAATGATTTTAACTGTGTAAGTGTTAATACCTTGGCTGTCATATTCAGAAGACATGAGTTACATTCTGGTTTTGTATTGAGTACATCCGTCTTTCTGTCTGCTGGGATGTTGCATCCCTCTCAGCCTGGGTTGACTCTCTGACGGAGAGGGAAGAAGCAGCTGGCCTTATATGTGATCTAAATTGTGTCGAAGAGGAAAAAAGCATCTACAATTACTATGATTATAGATTTTTAGCACGATAATTTTTTATTGTATGCAGGCTGTTTTTAACATTCATATACTGTTGAAATTGTCCAAGACGGTGACTCGTTGTCGAGGAGAAAAGTGGTTGTCTTAGACAGATACATGTCTAAGACAGTGTTATTTTACTTTGGGAAAAATGCAAGGTGGAGGGGAGTGGGAATTTGTACCGGTGATTTTGTCTTGGAAAGGTGGCACAGGATTGACTGTATTTGGGTAGAGTTGTGAGACCTCACAATCATTCACAATCTTGTGTCCACAGGTATATCAGCCAGTTGAAATCTGCCCAGGCACAGTATATTCAGCAGAACAATGAACTCAAAGACGTAAGTCCTAAGCTGAGTGCTACCTTGTGCTGTCTCCATTTTTCTGGCTTTTATGTAAATGAATCACTTTGAAAGCTGTGTATTCCAGTTGTGGAAAACAGGAGTAAGTACAAAGTGAAACTGAAATTATGGAGAATATTATTATGGGCATCAACCACTGTCCTCTGAAAAATGAATAAATCCTCTTTTTCTTACCGTCCCTAAAACTAAACGTGGGCTAGTTTGTAAGTTTGGGATGAGGGTGTATCTGCCTGAATGTTACGAAATAAACAATGTTGTTTTCCTACCTCTTTCTTTGTAATGGAATTTGCTAAAATGCATATACAGTGGCTTTTTTTTTAAAAGAAAACTGACATCTAGATTTTGGGTTGTTGTTGTTTTTTAAGTGACTGTAGATACGGTATTAATCTGATTCTTTTCCAGTCTTCTTGAAATTTCAGCAGAGTATGAGAATGTAATGAGTTAAATAATACTAAGTTATATGAAAGTAGCAATAACTTAGATTGGATAACGATTGGATTCAATTGTCAAATGACAACCACTTTTGCCCTCCCTTCCCCACTCATAAGGAGCGTTCTTCACGATCTCTCCATAACTCATCCTAAAATGATTTTCTCTCTTTTTTATTCCTTGCAGCGTCTTAGGTTGGAACTTTCACGCAACTCCAGCAAGTCTCCAGGCAAAAGAGCAAATATGCTGGGTATGTATGTTCTAAGACTGCATTGTTAGGAAGAGAAAGAGATCCTGTTTTACTATCGGTCTTTGGGGGGTCGCAGGGGAAGAAATGCCTCGAAATACAGTAGTCTCAGGGAATATCAGTTGATCCTACCATTTAGCACAGAAAAATGTGAATTTCGTGCAGTCCTTTTTTAAAATCATTTAAAATCAGGTATTTAAAAATGTGACTTCTTCTTTATACTGCCTGTTTGTGTTGAAAGCACTGTAAAAACTAACACTCGGGCACTTCTACCCTGGGTGATTGACGAGTCCTCTGGTGTAGTATGCTCCTTGTGCTGTTGTCCTTATCTCTCCTCCTTCCTTTTTGTGTTTGTTACTCTCTTGTAACGCCTCTAATCTTCAGACTACTTATACGACCTATTTGTGTTGCAAGTGCCACAAAAATGCTTTTTAAAACAAAACTTAAAGATGTGACTTCTTCTTTCAACTACCTAACTGTGTTGAAAGTACTGTAAAAACAAAACACTTAGGCATCTCTCTCCTCTTTTGTCCCACCTCAGCTATGGTGGACTCCAGTATCCCCTTGATGGAATCGCACGGCATGGCTAGTTCAACAGACACCGCAGCTGCCTCTGCCATGGCCACAGCCTCCCCCTCACACCCGTCCTCCCCCTCCTCCTCCTCCTCCTCCTCCTCCTCCACTGCCACCACCCCGACCATCTCCTCCCCGCACACCAAACACAACGCGGAGAGGGACTCGCGGCCGGAGGAAGAGGGGTCTGAAAACGCCAACAGCAGTGACTCGGAGGAGGAGAGCGATTCCGATGCTACGGACTACAACGAGGTTTGAAACCGTTTCTTCAACTTTTCTGTGGACCGAATTTGACTCGTGACATTCTTTGCAAAGAAACTTCTCCAGAAAATTTTTACAGAATTTGACCAACATTCTTGATAAAGAGACTTCCTGATATGCAGTTAGCCGAATTTGATGCTGACTTTCTGTGGAAAGAAGCTTCGAAGCTTCTCAATAAAATGGTGGCTTGGTGGTTAGGCTCTCAGACTCAGAACCACAAGGTCAGGGGTTCGAATCCCATCAGGGGCCTGATGTTGTGTCCTTGGGAAAGGCATTATATACAAATTTTTCTCTCTTCACCCAGGTGGAAATGGGTACCCAGCTATAGACATTGAAAGATCTTGTCAGTTTGTTATTGTTTGAGTGCTTAATCTGCTGCTTGCACTGTACGCTTCCCGGGGAGCTGAGAATGTTTCTGAGAGTTCTATGGTCTGCTGGGGTAATGATATAGTGTAAAGCGCGTAGAGAATGTTGCCGAACTGAGATATGTGATACAAATGCTATTTATTATTATTATTATTATTATTATTATTATTATTATAGCATACTTTGTTACTGGCATTTTTGCAAAGAAACTTCTCAATGAACTGACTAGTTAGAAGATGTTCTGCTTTACAAGTGAATGTCTCTTCAAGTTTAGAATTTATGGAACTATGAAAGAGATCAATTTGAGTGTCTCTGTCTGCTTCTATTTTTCTCTGCCTATATTTCTTTTTTCCTTGCTCAAGATTACCACTCTTATGTCGATGTGTTTCTGTTTACTCCAAAATAATCCGTGGGTGAAAACATCTATCGTCCTTACCTCTCCTCCTTCTTTTTTCGTGTTTGTTACTCTCTTGTAACACCTCTTGTCTTCGGCACTTATACAACCTAATTGTATGGCAAGTGCCGTAAAACTCTTAGTATAACGCAATAAAACCCTCTAATCCAACGGAGCATGTTCCCAGGTGCTCAACTCTTCGGAGATGGACCTTGAAGAGCTCTCCATGGACGACCTGGTGCAGGCCATCGGCGAGGCAGACATCAACGCTGATGAGAATGGCATGGACGAGGAGACCTTGTAAGTACCTTAGGTACCTTTCCTGACTGTGTCTGTTCATACTAACCTCTTGAGCCTGTAGCACCTGTACACCGGTGGAGCGCTTCAGCAACAGTAATCTGTGTAGCTTGTTCCCTTTCGTCTGACCGCAGTTAAAGCAGGATAAAAGCGATTCACTCTGTTTAATCTGTCTGGGTCTTTGCATGGGGGTTTAAATTTAAGGGACCAACAGACTCTAGAAGCCCATTCATAAAAGTCACTGCAAACTAAGGTTCCAGTACGTTTTCTTTGATGTAAGCCTAAAGCAGGTCAAAAAAATAATAGGGGATTTACGGCATACACCTAAAACATCAAAGTTGACATATTTTCCTCAACACCAATCTTACACCTTTGTCTAAGAAACACGATTCAAGAGATGGGGTGAGTATTTTTCGAGACTCACGTGGAGCACGTTTTGACGTCTAGACAGCTGGGGAATGAAATCGACAAGCTTACACTGAAATGTGGGGGCAGGGTGGTGTCGCTGTCTCGAAATGAGCAATTTGTAAGTAATTTATTTTAATGATCCTGTGTATGCATCCAAAGAGCGGTGTTTGATATAGGGCCCAAAGAGAAAAACTTTTAAATTACTAGGTCAAGATTTTTTTTTTTTTTTTATTTTGTTTGGTCTCTGGCCTTCAAAAGTGCCATAGGTTTCGTGGGCACAGATAAATTCCTGAATGAGCTACAATTTTTTTACGCTGCCAGGTGAAAGTGAACAGGCTATAGCATGTGTTTACCGGTGTGAGAAAAGAGGGCAGAAGTATCAGGCAGAAAAGAGCAGATTTTTTAAATCTGTCAAAATGCTAGTGTCTGTCAACATGTTATTATGGAATATAATAGCAAATTGTCCACACCTCTTCACTGCTGTGTTGACGTATATACCCATTTGTGTTCCACAAACTCTTCTGGCTTACGTGAGGAAGTCCTAGAAGATGTAGTTCATTGCAAATCATGCCTTGCTTATTCTGAATAAAGGGGATATATATTTTGGCTTTGTTTAAACCTTTCACTAGTGAACATTTTGTCTTAACTGTACATACTTAGATGGAAAATCCTCAGTACCGAAATGGTTACGTTAAGTTCAGCTGTGTCTGTATCTTTGTATGACCTAATGACCAAATTGTGTTGATAGTGATGGAATTCCTGTTTTCTTCTCCCACAGGTCTGTGGACAATGACGTAGACCACGCCCTGGAGTGGACCAACAACGACGTGGACCAGTTACTGGAGTTGGGCGGGGCTGTAGGGGGCGTGCCCTCACAGTCAGCCCACGGTGGGATACAGTCAGCCAGCGGGACTCGGGGGATGAAGGGCTCCAACAACCTCTCTCAGCCACCGTCCAGGTATGTCAGGGCTTGGTTTTAAATCTCTTTCTGGTGTGTGGATGGAGGTTTAGAGCGTCTGTCGATGATGTTATGCTCTCAGGGAGCCCTACAAAGTAGGAAAAACGGTCTCATAAGTAATAACCAGTTGCGCTGAGGGATGAAGAACCAGCTGATGACTGCCCCTGAGATCTAGCAAGGGAACGCAGTAGTGCTATGGGCTACCTTTTTTGTGTTTTCTCATTATCTATATTAGAAGGGGGGTTTTGTGAAGGGGGGGGGGGGGTTGCGTGTTGAAAAATTTCCAAAGAACCAGTTGCATGGTGTAGTATTATCAGCACACTTGTAGATGGCAGTGGAAGCTTTTTTCAGGAATCGTGCATCTTGTGTAGACATTCTTTGATGTTTCCTGATGCAGGTAAACAGAGGCACGGAGAGGACAAAAAAATAAGTGCTTTGTTATCAATATAGACTGTGTCCGGGGATGATTGAATAGGGCCACTAGTATGTCTCACTTCTTTTCTATCCCTCTTTTGTTTCTGCTATCTATAGTTGTCGTGTTGAGTTGCTTTTCTTTACTTAGACTAAAACTATGATTGTGTGTGTCTTAAAGGTTCTAGTTACAAAAAAGGTCTGTCTGTATCAGGACTTTCAGTTTTGTTAGATGAAGTGACTTGCAAAATTTATAGACACCAGTGTTTCTCCACCCTAAAAATGTGTCCTGCTCTTGCAATGTGTGTCCTACCTGTTGATCAGAAAGCTGCATGTTGGTGGTTGGCGGGTGCCCCTGTGTGGTTTGCTCCTTCTTTTCTATCAAACATCTGTCGTCCTTATCTCTCCTCCTTCTTTTTTGCGTTTGTTACTCTTGTAACACCTCTAATCTTTGGCTCTTATATGACCTTATTGTGTTGCTAGTGCCGTAATAATTGTTCTAAAACTAAGCAGAAAGCAGCACTTAATAAGATGTGGGTTCTTTTTGTTCACAGTGTGAAGAAAGATGACGAGGCGTCTCTGCTTCAGTTTCTAGAACAACATTCCTCTCAGCGGTCAAACAACTGGTCATCACACCTGCACGAGGCTTTCAAGCGCCATGCGGAGAACATAGCTCGTAAGTTCACAGTTGTACCATACGGAGAACATAGCTCGTAAGTTCACAGTTGTACCATGCGGAGAACATAGCCAGTAAGTTCGTAAGTTCACAGTTGTACCATGCGGAGAACATTGCTCGTAAGTTCACAGTTGTACCATACGGAGAACATTGCTCGTAAGTTCATAGTTGTACAATACAGAGAACATTGCTCGTAAGTTCATAGTTGTACCATACGGAGAACATTGCTCGTAAGTTCATAGTTGTACAATACGGAGAACATTGCTTGTGGGTTCATAGTTGTACCATACGGAGAACATTGCTTGTAAGTTCACAGTTGTACCATACGGAGAACATTGCTCGTGGGTTCACAGTTGTACCATACGGAGAACATTGCTCGTGGGTTCATAAGTTCAAGGGGAGGTTATCTGCCAATATGTTGCATAGGTTCTATTTACTTGGGTCTTTGGTGTAATGGTTAGGCTTTGGGCAGTTGCACACTCTAGAAGATACGGCTTCGATTGCCCGTTAGGGAAGTTACTCGATCAAGTACCTATGTCTGGTGGGATATTATATCGTATTTAGCCTGGGGTAGCTGTGAAGCAACCTGCCTCCCAAGTGGTCTAAATTGTGTAGATAGCGATGTCGAATATTTTTACTATCAAAGCGTTGATTATTTTGTCGGTTCCTGCTCTTCAGTTCTTGCGTGCACAGTTGCTGACTGCTTGAGGACATACATCCGTGCTGGAATGTGTTTTTAAATGGACATTAAAGGTGTTGGGCCCATAACAAAAACATTGATAAGAATAGCCAAATTGGCAGGCAATGTGAATTTCCTCGATTTCATTATTTTGAAGAGTGCCTGATTTCACCACGATGTCCCACGTATTGTTTTGTCAGTTACTCTCCGTCATCTACACTGTAGCCGTTTTGACCTAGGAACCACTACTAAAATTTGTTATTAAAATCATCATTATGATTTTTATTTCTATATATTGTTTTTGTTATTATACTGCTATTATTATTGTTATTGTTAATATTATTATCATTATTATCATTTTTATAATTATTTTAATTGTTATTGTTGTTTTTGCTACTGACAGCCATGCCACCCCTGACAGAGAGCAGTGGAGACAGCACGCGCTGGACCAACTGGCTGGAAGGACTCGAACTCGACAAGCCCTTCAGCAACAGCGACAAGAGCCTGGTACCCATCCCACCCAACCACCCCCCTGGAACGGCTGCCACGGCCGCTGTTGGTGGGGACGCCATGGGTAGAGAGCTGCGCGGAATGACAGGTACTCACGGGTATCTTTCTCTCTCTCTCGTTGTCTGGTCAGTGACCAAGGAATGTGCTGGGTGTCCATAATAATGATAATACTATGATGCTAATAATAATAATGATGATGTTTTGTTTTGATAAGTTTTTCAGTTTTAGTGAGATTTTATGGCGCTCGCAACTGCATAAGGACATATGAGCGCCAAGGGGTAGATGTCAACAGAGAAGTCCAAACGGGGAATCAGGCTTACTCTGCTCTCCTCTCTCGCCTGAAAAGCACAAAGTCTGCTTCGACTATCAAGGCACCCCGGAAATAGCAGTTCCCAAGAGGGTGACAAATATATACAAAAGAAGTAGAAGAAAAATGACAATAGTAAGGATGAGGAAAGAAAAAGCAGCAGTTCCCCCATGTTGTTCGGCACAGTATGAACATGACATTGATAAATCAGCCTATTTACAATTCTACCGTGCATAAAAACAAGTTAATATCCCCCCCTTTGGTAAGTGTTTTCCGGCGCATGCAACAGTATAAGGTCATATGAGTGTACGGGATACATTTGACATTTTCAGTTTGGAAGGAATAAATTTTGAATATTGCCGAGGTGGCGCCCAAAGCCTACTCTTATCAATTTTAGGACCACCAAGGGATCTTTGACGTGGGCAACTTGCACATAGGATCTCCAAAATTTTTCGAGAAAGCTTGATGTTAGATCTTACCTAAACTACTCTAAGTTCAGGGGTGTGGCTGAAAGACATGAAAAGACAGTAGCAAAGAGCCGCCGAGGAGTAGCAGTAGAAAGGCCGCAGAAAGAGTCAGGAGCCCAGAGGAGCAGGCAAAGGAGGGTGGGGACAGAAAGTGGGGAGGAAAGAACGTGATTAGAGAGCAAGAAAGGTGGGGAGAGGAAAATTTAGAGAAAAAAATGTTCAGTTGTTGTCAGGTTTCGAACCCGGGACCTATTGAATGAGAGGTTGACACCATAAATCTAGACCACGAGAGCCCCCAGGTGAGACGACGACGATGATGATGATAATAATAATAATTATAATAATAATAATGCAAATGTTTCTGTGACCATGGAATGTGCTTGATATTAACAATGATAATAATAATAATAATAATATTGCGGATAATTTCTGTAGCACCTGCTCCCATACAATACAGCTTTAGGTACTTAACAATGACTTGGTCTCAACACAAAATACAAGTGAATGAACGTGCATTCATAATATGCTCTTTAGATTATTACTAACATGTAAGCAAACAATCATACGTTCCCAGCACAATGAATAACTATATGCAAACCACACTATGAACATAACAGCACAATGAATAACTATATGCACACCACACTGTGAACATAACAGCACAATGAATAACTATATGCACACCACACTGTGAACATAACAGCACAATGAATAACTATATGCACACCACACTGTGAACATAACAGCACAATGAATAACTATATGCACACCGCACTGTGAACATAACAGCACAATGAATAACTATATGCACACCACACTGTGAACATAACAGTACCACAAATAACTATATGCACACCACTCTGTGAACATAACAGCACAATGAATAACTATATGCACACCACACTGTGAACATTACAGCACAATGAATAACTGTATGCACACCACTCTGTGAACATAACAGCACCAAGAATAACTATATGCACACCACACTATGAACATAACAGCACCATGAATAACTATATGCACACCACTCTGTGAACATTACAGCACAATGAATAACTATATTCACACCACACTATGAACATAACAGCACCATGAATAACTATATGCACACCACACTGTGAACATAACAGCACCATGAATAACTATATGCACACCACACTGTGAACATTACTGCACCATGAATAGGAAAGATTATTTAAAATGTCATTTCAGATGGTATGTTGTCCAATGAATTTTGGATTTTGCTTCAGACTTTGTGTTGCTTTCCACGGAGGTTTAAGCCATGAGGCTGGCTTTTTTTTTCGTTCCTGTACTTGTCTGCTCCTTTTTCTGTCTGTCTCTTGCATGTCCCCCTACTCCAGAAGGAAATATATATTTTTTTTAAAGCAAGAAAAGGATAATTTAGTTTATTAGGGGATTTCTTTATACATAACAATCAGCAGGAAATGATCACATTGTGACAATATTTTCTCAATTGTTCCGGTCCCGGTAACTATCATGTAACACAAGTACCCCAAGTACCGAACTGGTGAGTCAGTCACTTTTTAAAATCCATTTTTATCAATTTTCTTCTTTTTTTGTGTGTGTTAGTGTTTTTACTCCCCCAATGAAACTGTCTAGATTCATAATGAGGTGGGCTTTAACCATGTCTGCCTGGGCCAACCAGAGCTAAGAGAGCCACAACATATCAGCAGAAAGTCTCGATAAAAATTCTCCCCACTCAGGAAGTGAACTCGAGTCTTCCTCATGAGACAGCAAAGTGCGCACTTTCTTTACTCAAACAAGTAAATCTCCTTTGTGTCCAGGTGCTGGCCGCGCAGCGGCAAACTTGGAAAGGGGCGGAGCCAGTGCCTTGACAGAGGGCGGGGCCCAGGCTGGGGGAGGAGACGGAGCCCGCAAGTCTGCCGAAGATGTGCTGGAGCATTTCCAACAGAGGTGAGTCGATGGGGCACACAGGACACTCACTGAATTTGATGAGAAGACATTATTGCCATGTTTGTAACACAGTTGCCAAAGTAAGTTTTTTTTTCAAATTTACAACAAAAAAACAAGCGATGCTGATCTCTACCAGCTATATGACTGCAGCAAAAGTAGACTTGCCAACAGTCCTGAATTTCTCGGTACAGTTCAGGATTCGACTGTCAGGCAGGACATTTATCCGCGTACACCAAAACCAGCCCCACTTTGATTTAGGCTAATTGTGTTTTTTGTTATTTATTATGATGTTATATTGTTGGGTGGGTGTGTCCCTGATTGGGTTTTGAATAAGTTGGCAAGCCTGCAAAAGTGTGAAAGTGTCTCATCTCAATAAGTGGACTCTTAGTACATTAAAAAAAATGAAAACGCTTGCAATATTGGGGATACGAAATAAGTGACAGTCATTTTACCATACCGACCCACCCACCCCTCCCAAAAATGACCTCAACTATTGTATCATGAGTGTGACGTTGTTTTTAAAGTAATTTTGGCTTTTGAGAATGATGCTTTTGAAAAGTGAATCAATTGCCGTAGCAAAATACCACAAGTTTTGTTTTTTTGTGGTGTATTTTATGTTATGTTAATCAAACTATAGAGGGAGGTGTTGAGGATTTATTATGTTTATGGAGAAGTTCAGAATGTAAAGTGTGATGCGTCATAAAGACTATCACTCACTCAGTCTAATTGGATCCTCGCACAATTGTTGTAAGAACTTCTGTACAACTTCTGGTGTAACAGAGTTCCAATATAATGTCGTCTGTTCTGTCAGCTCTAGCGTTGTGTTCCTAATTTCACGTTGATACAAACGTAACAGGAGGGGGTTGGAAAAGTGAGAGTCGCTGAGATTGAAGGAGGCAGTGAAAGGATTGTTGTTGGAACTATGTTCTTTGTATTGTAATTCACGTTGAACACCTTCTTAGTGGAAATGCGCTGTATAAATGTAATTTTATTACTACTGCTACTACTACTACTACTACTACTACTACTACTACTACTGCTATTATTATTAATATTATTATTAATATTATTATTATCACTATTGTTGTTGTTATTATTATTGTTAATATTGTAATTATAATTATTATTGTTACTATTATTATTACAATTATTATTGTTATTGTAATTAGTAATAGTAGTAGTAGTAGTAGTAGTGGAAGTAGTATTAGAATTATCATTATTACAAATGGCTTTGGGTCTGTGCGTTGCTAAGCCTATATAAGTTTTTGTGAACAAACCAAATCTAACACAGGGAGGCTCTCATGGCCTAGAGGTTAAGGTTTTCACCTCTCAAAAGCGACAGAAATTTTTCTTCTCTAAAAAGATTGTCTCCTTTCACCTCCTTTCCTGCTCTTTAGCAATGTTTTGTCGTCTGCTTTTGTCTCCACTTTCTGCCCCCACCGCCTCACCTCTTTTGCCCCCACCTCTGGGCTCCTCCTTACTGCTGTCTTTCAGCCATACCCAGAAAGATCTACACTTAGCCTTCTTGGACAAGGGTGAAAAGTCTCGGAGGTCCCGTGTACAAGTTGCGCACATTACAGATCCCTTGGTGGTCTAAAAATGGATAAGAGTAGGCTTTGGCCGCCACCTGTGCAAAATTCAAAATTTCTTACCAACTGAAAATGTTTGATGTGTCCCGCACGCTCATATAACCTAATGCAGTTGCGAGCGTTGTAAAAAAAACCCAAAAAACCCAAGAAACACAGCATCTCTCCATGACATTTACAGGTTCACAGAACTGGCAGCATCGACAATAGCAGCAGCCAATGCGGCAGTCACCAACGAAACAGAAGCCCGCAAGTACAGAACTGGTGAGTCTCGCTCAGTTTATCTTCAGGCAGCCGGATCGATAATGGCAATCTGGATCAAAAACTACAACCTGGAGTAATAATTATAACAACTACAGCAACAACTTCTTCCTGCAGGAATTAAAACTGCATTACTTACGGCAGGGTCTGTAACAATTTATGAGGCAGCGTGGTGAAATCAGGCTCTCGTCAATTTTTGGGCATGTATAGTTATTGGTATCATATTAAAGTTTGTTCATTTGTCTTTATTTGGGTGAAAAAAATATTATTTTATCTTGAATACAAGTCGAGATATTTGCGAATGAAAGGAGTGGGGGTCACCTGTTTTCAGAGGTAATATTAGTGAGAAAATGGCCGCCAAAGATTAGTTATTTCCTTATTTGAAAAGTCCATGGTAACTGAAAACCTACATTTTTTTGTGCCTTTAATCAACCTTTTTCAGAAAAATCCACACAGAAATGAGTTCTTTAATGGGCATGAAAGGTGTTGAGTCAAAAAACAAAAATTTGAAGAAAATTCACAAACCTGTGGAAAAATGCAAGTTTCTTCACTTTGATTATTTTGACGAGAGCCTGATTCCACCACGCTGCCTCACATTTGTTCTTCTTCTATGACTGGCCTACTCCAGAGGGTGACAGCCTGCTTCGTGCAGTCAGATATGAGACGACCTCTTTGGGTTTGGTTTCTGTAACAAATTCCTCCTGCTGGCTGGTATTTTAGCAATTTGTGTCATCTGAGTGTTCTAGGGTCTGCTGGGGTAATAATGTAGATTGCAAAGTGCATCAAGCTTGCTGCAGAGTGGGGATATGCGCTATACAAATGCTGTTTAATATTATTTGTCATATTGTTCTGAGAGATAGAGCTGTTGAAGTGGATGGTTGGTGGATGTTCTGATGTGGTCTTTCTTATCTCACTTCCATGGACCTTATCTCTCCTCCTCTTTTCGTGTTTGCTGCTCTCATGTAATACCTCTAATTGTCAGCACTTATATGATCTAATTGTGTTATAATTGGCATAAAATTCTTTGAAAAAACTGAAACAAGAGCTGTAAACCTTTTAATGACCTTTGTCTTGACAACCCCACCCCACCCCCCCACAGGTAAGAAATCCAAATACGCCCTCCAGGCCATCGTTCAGCCGTTGCGGAACTCTTTAGAATCGGCCGGCCCGAACAACAGGCCCGAGTCTGCGCAGCATGACTCGCACACCGCAGCTGCCCTGGGGCCTCCGAGACAAGGATCGTCTGCTGCTGCCACCACCAATGTGGCTAGTATGTCAGGTGAGCTGCTGGCTGTGTCTCCTCTTCTTTGCTGCTGCAGCTGCTGCACCTGTCTGAGAACCATAACGCAGATGGTTTTTGGAGCTTAGTCTTTGTGGACCAAGACTCATTTCACACTCTCCAAGTGGGTGGTTGGTGGGTGCTCTGCTGTGGTTTGTTTCTTTCCTATCAAACCTCTATCATCATTATTCTCCTCTCCTTCTTTTTGGTGTTGTTACTCTCTTGGAACACCTCTTATCTGTCGCACTTATATGATCTTATTGTGTTGCAAGTGATGTAAAACACTTACTAAAACAAAAACACTCTCCAACTCCTGACTTTTTATGTTTTGGGTGACCGCTTTGGCCAACGAGAATTTTTTTTTTATTTACTTGATTATTATTTTGAAACTTGATACAAAGATACCACTAGCTACGGTGGGAGTGGTGGGTGCATGGCTTGGTGTGTTGTGATACACTGTATTACCTGTCCTGGGCAACAACGTCATTGCACGCCGGACAGGTCCATAAGTGCTCAGTTCCCCCCAGCACCAAAGCCCGCAAGGTATCCATACTGATTGTTCCGGTGGCTGTCTGGTTATGGCGACGTCTTTCCTTTCCAGATAATCGTTCCTTTCTTCCTTCTCCCCTCTCTATCCCCATTTCCTGCATCCTAATGATTGCATGGTGTTCTGCTGTCTCTTTGTCTTCTTCATCGCGCAACTTTTTCTCCAGGGTCTTCAACACTTCTCCTTTGTCAAATTTCACCTCACCATCAACCACGGCACTGCCTGCCAGCCTGTCAGCCTCCTCATTGCCTTAAGGCAAGGCAATGTGATACACTTTCAGGTTCAAAGGCTTGCTTTTATTTCTACAAGCAGTAACCCCCCCACCCCCCCCCCCCTCACACACAGCAGTAAACCCCCCCCCACACACACACACACACACACACTTACTCTCACACACACACACACAGACGCACACACACACACTCCCGTGCCCTTTTTACAGCTTAACAACTTTTTGTAAATCAGGCTTTTGTTTACAATAGGTTTATACTTTATTACTATAACCCCTGACCCTGACACCCAAAGGGGGGATGAATTTATTTGGTCGCTTTTAAGGACAAGCGGGCTAACCCAGATTTCGGTGGATTCCAGAAATCTTGACCTACACCAAAAGTGGGCATTTCTCTACCTATAGGAGAAGTTTTGGTTTCATTGGTGTGTATATTTGTTTGGTTATATTATAGAGAAAACTCTCCTTGTTTTTTAAAGAAACTAAACAAGGGGCAAATACTTTTCCTTTGATTTTCTCCAAACAGCCTTTTACAGGATAGCTCCCTTGTGCTTAAAAGCGACCATATAGCCAATGTACAAATTTTAAAGCCATGTTACTAATTTTCTAGCAGTTGATTACTAAAACATATGCTAGGTTGCTGGGCAGCCCTGCACCCACCATTTGACCTTCAAACACACCGTGTTTCTTTTATTGGTCCTCACCAGAACTGGACGCCAGCCTGGAGAGCTTGATGACCTTGGAGGAGTTTGACCTACATTCCGACCAGGCCTCTGCCGCTCCAGCCTCGCCAGCTGTGCAACCCAGAATGTTGTGAGTCTTCCGTCAGACTGGCGCCCGTCTGTCGTGTTTGTTTATTGTGCATCATAGACCACCATGAGTCTTCCACCAGGCAGACGCAAATAATAAAAATGTCATGCTTATTTGTATATTGTGGGCTTGACGGTTGTTTTGATCTATAACCAAGCTGGTGGTGGAGGGTACCTCTTTGAGGTCCTACTTCTTTTGAATAATAATAATTATAATAATAATTGCATTCATATAGCGTATATCCTTGCTCAAGAGCATGCTCTATACGCTTTACAACTATTATTACCCCAGCAGACCCTCTGAGAACACTTAGAAACACTCTCAGCTTCCGCGGAAGCATACAATACAAGCTGCGGATTTCTAGCGCTCAAACACTATCTTTCACTGTCTATAGCCAGGTACCCATTTCCACCTGGGTGAAGTGAGGAAAATTTGTGCAAAGTGCCTTTCCCAAGGACACAACGTCGGGCCCCTGACGGGATTCGAACCCTCGACCTTACGGTTGCGAGTCCGAGAGCCTAACCACCAATTGACGGTTATTGTATCGATGCTCTTTTTCGTTTACTTATACAGGCAAAATCAATCGAAATAACTGACGCCCACAGGGTGGGTGCTTGTGGGGTGCTCTGGTGTTTGCTCCTTCTTTTCTATCCAACATCTATCGTCCTTATCTTTCCTCCTTTTTTTGTGTTTTGTGTTACTCTCTTGTAGCACCCCAAATCTTTGGCCCTTACATGACCTAATTGTGTGTTACTCTCTCTTGCCCTTTTTAACTCTCAGTGGAGCATAGGCCATCAACAGCATTACTCCAGCGAAGCCTGTCCTGAGCATCCTTTTCTATCAGTTTCCATGATGTCCCCGCCTTTTCAATTTCAGCTTGTACCGCTCGCCTCCATGTCATCTTTGGTCTTCCCTTCTTTCGTTTTCCTTGTGGGTTCCACGTTAAAGCCTGCCTGATGATGCTTGACGGGGGTCTCCTC